TTTGCTTCTGTATGAGATTGGCCCTCCAAAGGAGAAACATTTGGGGGTTCTAATCCAGGATAACTCCTCCCCACTGCTTAGTTCTTTTCACTACCAGCAAGTTTCCCAAAACACCAGTCACCAATCTGGCCAAGAATTTTTTTTTTCTTTAAGAGAGATCAAGAGGGAAAGTATTCTCCTTTCCCCACAGTGACGCATGCCACACCATCTGTCACAAGGGCACAGTCCTTTCCTTTACTGGATTTCCAAATTTTAAAAAAGAGAAATTAAAGCAATCATCAACTAAGTGGTTCAGATAAAAGCATCTTCACCTGAGTTTCCCATCAGCCTGCTCGGAACAGCCCAAGCTCCTCCCACGACAAGCTTCTGGGTACCTAACAACTGTTTACATACTGACTCATTAAAGCCGCCTCCACCCCAGGGGTCAGCTAACTGTGAGCACAGTTATTCTCATATCTATTATATGTACAAGGTCCACAACTAGATCTCTCACTAGAGCAAAATTCTCTGCAGAGTAGGTTCTTTGGGGCCCCAAGGTAGAGGTTTCTAGCAGGACTTTTTTCAGACTCGAGAGATTTATGGGGTTTTCACTCGTGTGAGTTCCCTGGTATACCAAAGGAGCTGGTCATGGACAGCTTTTCTCAGAGTCACAAGGGCTCTTCTCAGATGGCTTTTTGTGTTGTTCAAACCCGAGAAGATTCTCCATCTAATGCTTTCGCCACATTCCAGACAAATACCTACATTTTCACCAATATGGCTTCTTTGATGGGTAAGAAAGTCATAGTTCTGTTGGAAGCTTTTTCCACACTTGCTAGGGTTTCTCCCCAGGGTGGGTTTTCTGACGTCCAGTGAGCTGTACACAGTGTGTGAAGCACTGTTCACACCAAGGGCATTTCTTTTGGTGCGAATTCCCTCAGAAAGAGAGGAGTGAGCATTGCTAGGAAGCTCTCTCACTCTCTGCGTCTCCAAGGTTCCCCACCGGTACGAGTCCTCTTGTGGGGATCAGCTATGAGCTCAGACTAAAGGTTTGCCAAACCTGAAGGCCTTTGAAGGTTTCTTGTTGGAGTGACTGACAGGTGTTCTGTTAGGGTGGCTCTCTGGGCAAACCATTTCCCAATTTCCTAAAATTGCAGATTCTCTGGTCCCCACTGAAGTCTGTGCTCTTCCAAAGGTCTAAGATTTGCCTACAGTTTTTCATCTTAATGAGTTCTCTGACTCGTAAGTGCATTTTTTTGTGGTGTTATAACTTCTTGTCTGGCCAAGACGTCTGTGAGGTTTCTGATGGGTGGGGAGGGCTGAGCTCAAGCCCCTTCTCACCCGCATGACAGATAGATGGTTTCTCACTGAGGTGGACTGTCTGATGTTGGAGGAGGGCTGAGCCCTGGCGGAAGCCTTTGTCACACACACTGTATTGATAACGCAGCTCCTCTGTTTGAGTTCTCATTTTCGGTTGGGCAACAAAGCCCATGCCTAGGAGAAAGCCGCTCTCACATGCAGACCACTGGTGTGGCTTCTCTTCCATGTGAATTCTTTGATGCACAATAAGGTCTGAGCCACAGCTGAAACTTTTCTCATATTCAAGGCATTTAAACGTGTGTGTGTGAGTTGCCTGGTGCCTGATGAGGTTGGCACTCCGAGTAAAACTTCTCATACACTCCAAGCATTTATAGGGCTTCTCCCCCGTGTGGACTCTCTGGTGAACAATAAGGTCTGATTTCTGGCCAAAGCATTTCTCACAGGCACCACACTTATAGGGCTTCTCCCCAGTATGAACTCTTTTATGAACAATGAAGGCTGAACGGTGTCGGTAACTTTTCTCACACTTACTACATTTGTAGGGCCTTTCGCCAGTATGCGTTCTCTGGTGGCTAATGAGATCCGATTTCCCACTAAAAGCTTTTTCACACTCCAGACACTTAAATGGTTTCTCACCGGTATGAGTTCTTCGGTGCCGAATGAGGTTTGTACTTCGACTGAAGCATTTATCACACTCACTGCAGAGATATGGTTTCTCACCTGTGTGGCTTCGCTGGTGGACAAGCAGATCAGAGCTCTGTCCAAAATTCTTGCCACAAATGTCACATGTATAGAATTTTTTACCTGCATGTGTTCTCTGGTGTCCTGACAGGGCTAAGTGGTGCCAGAAGCTCTTCTCACATTTGCTACATTTATAAGGTTTCTCATAATTGTGGATCCTCTGGTGTGAAATGAGATCTGAGCGCTGGATAAATGTTTTCTCACACATATCACATCGATAAGGTTTCTCCCCAGTGTGGGTTCTCTCACACATAATAAGAGCTAAGTTCTCACAGAAGTTTTGCTCGCGTTCAAGGCACTGGTATAACTGATCATCTATTTGAGTAATCTCATGCACATGAATGAAAATCTTTTGACCCTTCTGAGGGCGCGCATGATATAATTTCCTTTTCTGAGTTCTCTGATTAGCTCTCTTTTCTGAAGTGCACATCTCTATGGCTCTCTCCTAGGGAGTTTTCCACTGGTCGTCTTGACCCATCATCTTCATTGTCATTTTTCTGATAAGAACTTGAATGACACACTTGTTTTAGGCCTTTGAATCATGAGCTGTTTGTCTCTACAAGTTTCCAGCATCATATACACTAATTTCTTACTCGGTATTTCCAACACTGTGAGACAAAGAGAAGTATTATTTATATTCCTATAACTAAGAAAAGAATGCTCAAAATTAACATCACTGTTGAAAAGACAGAAATTCTGCATCAGGGTACATAATGCTATTGGTTTTTCAGGGGCTGAAATCAGTTAGTCTCTCTCTTTGCCAATATCAACCAATCAGCAATATATATGGAACGTACTAGGGATTATTATTTATTTCATGATCTGGGTGATCTCCAACCCAGGCTCTTCCTCTCCCATCACTCTGGCTGAGCAGTGCCTGCCCTGGAATTCTCTGTCCCCTTTGCTGCTGTTTTTCTCCATGGCCCTTACCACCCAATACAGTGCACACGTATTCACTGACTTGCTGTCTATGGTTAGAGTATGACATGACATCTGTTTGATCGCTGCTCTTCCCTTAGTATACAGAGTGGTTCAGGCATATCGTTGGTGCTTCGTAAGCAGCTTATTACAGCTCTACTAGTGTCCTTATCTGGTAAAGGACAAAGGCTGATGCCATGGGAGCGGGTCTGAGGAAATGCCTTTTAGAAGAAAAAAGGGACATTTCAAAAGACTGAGGAAATGGAGCTCACCTAGAATGTAAATGGAGGAAACGCAGCATTTACTTTCTGGTCCTGAGAATGTGATTTCTCAAGGAAGATTGCATTCTGTAAAACACAAGGACAAGAAAAGGGTCAACAGTCATAAATGAGAGGACTCAGCACTAGATCATTTCACTCAACCTGAAAACGGAAACTTCCATTAACAAGAGAAAATGGGGGGGCGGGGGGCGAGAAAATGGTTTTCTTATACAATCCCTGTTATCCCATTTGACCCTGAAGAAAAAGGGCAATAAGACATCTATAACCATCCTTGGGGGTATGACACTAACCTCTTTGAAACACTAAGGCATCGCCTTCCCCAGGAGTGCACGCTGCCTGGGTCTGAGGTACATCAGGGAACACAGGTCCCTGGGGACGACACCCCCACCTTCCCTGCAGCCTGCCATCGCCACCATTCTGGTCCTCCACAATTTACAACAGACTTGGCTGATTTATATTTCAGCCACAAACAACTCGGGACGCAGTCACCTGGGAGCATGAGTAGTTAGACAGCCAGACCTGTCCACTGATTTCTCCCTCACAGTTTGACCTGCCTGCTCCAGGTCACAAGACTTTCAGCTGTTCCCTCAGCAATGTTCTGCTATTGAGGACCTGACAGACAGCACAGGGAACATACACTTAGCCCATGGCCACCAGTAATAACAGGACAGCGTTCATGTTCTGGTTCCAGGAAAGACAGAGGCATGACAGCTGGTTCTCCCATGAAACGCAACTCTGAACTCCGCACCAGATCACGGGACACAACCCGACCTGCAGCGAGTTCACTATTTTTTGTCCCCTTCTGTACCCCTGGTCTGAACTCAATGCAGGCTGAATCGCAGAAGTCAGAGAAACTGTAAAATGTAATTCAGTTGGGATTTGTTTGAAAACCTAGGGGCTCCCATGCCAATGATTAAGACTGACTTCAGCCAGTGGACAGAAAACAGAGTGCGGCAGCCTGTGGCAGAACAAATCTAAAGGTCACTGTCAAAAAGAGAAAACCCACTCTAAGTACAAGAGAAAATTTTTTAAGATTTCTAATAACAGCAGAATACAAGGAAGAGAAGAGACCCAGTGTGCACACAGGAGAGGTGGCCCTGGAACAACTCTTAGGAAGAGCAGAAAGGACCTCACAGCCAAGGAGAAAATGAACAAAGGAAACTATAAGGCCCTTCGACATGGAGAAAAAATTTAAAATGCACAATCTAGCTCCCTGGTATATTCTAAAACTGCCATCCAGTTTTAAAACAAAAACAAAAATTTACAATGGCAAAGTGGTAATGTGCTGCTAAATTAGCAACCTTGTAAAATATATTATGTTCAAATAAAATAAAAATAATTCAACTAAAAACTGGGAGAAAAGGAAGAAAACAGTGAAATAACTTCACTGATTACTGCATTAATTAATAGCAGGCAGAAGTTAAGAATACTATTAAGAACTGGGAAACCAGATAATTAAAGGTTAAATAAAAAAAATGGGAATAAAGGCATTTAAAAAGGTCTAAGTACAAACGTAGCCATTATAACAAAAATCAAACTTTCTAAAAATATTTTTAATGAAAGAGCAATGAAAACACATCACGTAGGGAAAAAACAGGACAAATATTACATAACACTGATAACCAAACCTGGTGAAGAGAGCACAAACCAATTTTACAGCCCAGTATCAGTATCAATGTGAAAATCACTAGCAAACTCCAGCACATTCTCACACAAAATGCAGCATGCACTTGTATACTGTTACTTTTTTAAATTACGATTTAGTGCTGGCTTTGGCAGCCATACACTAAAATTAGAACGATACAGAGAAGATTAGCATGGCCCCTGTGCAAGGATGACATGCAAATTCGTGAAGTGTTCTATATGAGAAAAAAAAAATTACTATTTATCCTGGAAATCACTCCACATCTATTGGTAAAGATTTTCTTTATTCACTTTCACAGCTGCATAATACCCCATTATATGTAGCTATACCAAGTTTATTCAACCACTTTCATACTTATGGGCACTTCAGTTGTTTTAAATATTTTCAAATTATAAGCATTATGATGAATACCCTTATGGATGTGTATTTTCATATTGTTGGAGGTGTATCTTCAGAGTCAATTTCTAGAAAAGGGACTGCTGAATCAGATGTAAATGCATATCTATGTGAGCAGAGAAACAAGTAGACAGAATCATAAAGCAAACATAGTAAAATGTTAACATTTAGGGATTACAGGAAAAGGGTGTATGGGTATTCTTTGTACTATTTTACATTTTTGTAAGCCTCAAATTATTTCCAAATTAAAAATTTTTAATTTTATTTAAAAATTTTTAAAGAACATGGTAGCTGAGCGTTGGCACACTGTGCTAGTTAAAATTAAATGTGCAAGCTCCGAAATCAGATTTTGGTTCAAGTTCCCACTACGCTCCTCTGTAGCTGTGAGAACTGGGGTACTGACTTGAGGCTCTGGCTTCAGTTTCCCCTTTGATAAAGCAGGGAAGCTACGATTACATGCCCGAAGGAGCTGCTGTGAGAACTGACACAGTGTCAGTTAAGGACTCGGCTCAGCGTCTGGGTCTCCACAGGTGCTCGACAAATGACAGGTCCTGTTATTTTCTTGATTCCTTCTTCACATGCACAAAAAGCGTAACATTCATAGAGCCCATCCTCTGTGCCTGCCTCTTGTGTAAAGCTTTGTTCAAAATCCATTTAAAATAATTAACTAAATAATAAATAATAAAATAACTCAGCAAGTTAATGATTAATAAAAAGACTGTGCAAACACAGTTATGGAGAAATGTCACAAGGAAAAGGAAGAATCCAGAATCACAACTAAATGAAGATATGCAGGATCTAGACAAAGAGCTAATATGAGGTGGGTTTACGGGAGTCCTGCCTTTTAAAATGTGTATTACTGTTAAGCTCAAATAGAGAACAGAGTAGAAATAACGGATGCTGCCCTGGCCGGTTTGGCTCAGTGGAACAAGCTTCAGCTGGAGGACTGAAGGGTCCTGGGTTTGATTCCCGGCCTGGGCCCAGTCAGGGTATGTGCCGGAGGCAGCCAAAATGTTTCTCTCTCTGTCTCTCCCTGTCCCTTCCACTCTCTCTGAAAATCAGTGAAAAAAATATCCTGAGGTGAGAATTAACAAAAAAAGAAATAAAGGATTCTGAGCTTGGCCATAGCCTGGAAATGAATCAGAGTATTTCCTACAGTTACCAGCCCAGGGTATTATATTTGCCCTAAGTAGCCAACAACTGTGGGGCACTAAGAAGAAAAAAAATTGTTAAATAAGGAAATAATTTTGTCAAAACTCTAAGTAGACAATAACAATTTCCTACTTCAAAATACTGTAATTGTCTATTATCACACGGAAAAACACAAACTTTCCACAGCTGTATGCAGTGTGGCTCCTCCACCCATCTCCAGCCGCCCTCTTCCTTCTGCCGGGAACGCTCTTCCCCAGGAGGCAGCCTGCTCCTCTATTTGATTCAAGGGTCTGGTTGAGAATTACTTCCTCAGCAGGCAGCACACTCTGACGACTTTATCTCACATAACCATCCCCCTGATCCTGTTTCTTTCTCTCCGAGCGTGTGTGTTTTATATCTGTTCATGTGTTTCTCTCTCCTACTGGAACAGAACTCCCGCTAGGGTCAGGACTTAGTCTTTTGTTCACTGCAGTAACCTAGCATCTAGAACACATTAGTTGAATGAATAAAAATATGAATGAATGATTGAATGGATGAATGAATACCGGAACAAAAAGCCATCATCATCCTGGGAGCGCAGCAGCAACGCATCCGGCTAGGAGCTCTGGCAAACCTACAAGTATCCTTCAAGTCGTAGCTTCAGGGAGCCCTCCTCTAGGAAGAGACTGGCTCTCTCATCCACCAGGAGGGTCAGACGCACGGAAAGAACAGCAATAAAAGCACAAGCACAGCAGCTGAGCAGAGAACTTCAAAGCTCAAGGTTATCCTTACAGTTAAAGGTTATACGGAACAAGCAGACAAGGTCTAAAGCATTATCTAAGCGTTAGATCATTCTCGCCCTATCGGGCCCTAGGTTAGGGTTATCACACCTATTTTTCATTGATTACACAGACTGCCTCCTTTAATCTTCCCAAGAACTCTGTACAGCTGGTGCCAATACCAATGTTTGCACCTTACAGACAGAAGGCCTGATGCGTAGGGCCGGTAAAGAATTACCCAAGATGCCGCAGCTAGTCAGTAGCAGAGCCAGGATTTAAACTGCCGTCTCGGCTGCTGACCTGCCTGCGCGCTGGACACAGGGCCTGGAGGCTGCAAACCATCGAGAGGCAGTTCCTGCAAGCCCATCGCGAACGCGCACGTTGGGATGGAGTGAGCAATCCACGTGCACTGCAGGTAGGACTGATCCTATCACTCTGCTACCCCACAGCTAAGGCCCATTCCCCTCGACCCTGGTCTTCTCCCGTCCCACCTGCCCTCCCACCCCCTCCCTCCTCCTCCTCCACAGTCCACCAATCTACACAGAAACGTACAGCGCGGTGAGCCACTTGCTCCAACAACAAAGACTCAAGACTGCCTTCCTCCGTAACTACTCGCCACACACACCTCTCCCCTCTCCTGGAGGAAACACACACACTCTCAACAACGCGCAGTTTCCCCGGAGCTGGACACGCACATATTAGTCCAGGTCCTCCCCGGTCTGGTCAGCTTCTTTCACCCCGATCTGGCCGCTCCTCACCTCCGCTTCACTTTCTCCTGCAAGAAGGACCTGCACTGGCAGCCAGCGTTCCCTCCCCAAGAGCTCAAGACAAAAGCTAGGAATCGCTCTGGATAACAAACTTCATAACAAAGCCCCGAGTCCTTCTGCTAACTGTTTATTCCGCCAACCTCTAAGGTCAAGATCCCGTTCTCCTACCACTGCTAAGGGCATATATATAACAAAGTGACAGAATGCAAGTTTCCCAAAACGGCCGCGGCGCGATGCAAACCACCAGAGTCTCCCGCAGCCAGACCCGAATCTCTGCTTGGGGGCCGGGGCGGAGGGGGCCGAGGAGGCCGGGGCGGAGGGGGGCGGAGGAGGCCGGGGCGGAGGGGGACCGGGCGGAGGGGGCGGGGGTCCACTGAACGCCCGCGGTTTTCCCTACACGAAAAGCCCAGGTCGCTCAGAAACGCGCCCGGCAGCGTTCGCGGCCACGATCCGCAGGAACCACCGCGCTGAGCGGCTCTTCTTTCAACTTTTCATTGATCGCCTTTCCGTCCCAGTCCAGGGTCCCCGAGGCGCGGGGGCGCACGGACCAAGGCCGCTCCCAGGCCGAGGCCGCGGCCACGGGGTTCCGGTCCGCTGCGATCCGCTGCGATCCGCCCCGACCCCGCAGGCCCGGCCCCCCGAGGCCCGTTCGCCCCGCGGCCCCCGCACCGCCCCTCGGCCGCACTTCCGGTGACTCGGGGACACTAGGTCCGGCTCCCCGGCGGCCGCGGACCGAAGGGCCCACCCTCGGGCGAGGAGGGGAAGCAAACCTGGGGCCGACGAGAGCCGGGAGCGGCGCCCTCTGCGCGTAGGGCCGGGGAGCAGAGGCCTCCACAGCGACCGGGCCGGAACGCGAGCCCCCTCAGCCGGGCCGGAGGCGGCGGCGCAGCCCCACCCCCAGAGTCACGTGGTCACGCCCCCGGCGACAGCGCGCCCCGCCCGCCTCTGCGCCAATAGGGCCGAGCCTCCGGAAGGGGCGGGGCGAGGGCGCGGGCACCCGCCCAGGGCCGAGGGCCCGGATGTAGGAGCCGCTCGCCCGGAGCGGTGCAGTTCCTGTTGCTGTTCCAGACGTCGGTTCCCTTTCTGCACGGCGCGCCCCGGGGTTGGGCGCGGGAGTGGAGGTGCCGGGATGGAGTCTGCCAACCCCGAGAGAAACACCCCGAGGCACCGGGGAGAGATGGGAGACCCCAGAGAGGAGGCGGGAGGAGGGTCTCCGGGTGGCGGCTCTGCTAAATGCCGTTCTCGGTCAATGTCAGTGTAGCCCGGCGGGCGTGGCTGGGAGGTGCGCATCCACCCAGGAGCCCAGAGGTCCCGGTTCGAGTCCCCGTCAGGGCTCATTCCCGGGTTCGGACTCCATCCCAGTGCGGGGCGTGCAGGCGGCAGCCGAGGGGTGTCCCTCTCGCTCTATCCCAGGCCCTTCCTCTCCCTAAAATCAACACAAACATTTTCTTTATTATTTGTTGTTAACCCTCACCCGCGGATATTTTCCCTTGATTTTTAGAGAGTAGAAGAGAGAGGGGAAGACAGAGAGACGCGGCTTATTATGCACCTTCTTTGCGCGCCTGTCCTCCCACTCCGACCGAGGAGCGGCTCCAAGGAGGGCGGTGTCTGCCCTCCGAGCCCCGGACCCGACGGCCCCTGAGTGGGACGCTGGGCGGTAGAAGCGGGAGTGACCACACGGGCCGCCGCTCAGGGCTGCGGGGCGACCTGCAGGGCCGCGGTCGGAAGAGCCGTGTCCCTCCTCCTCCCTCCTTCCCCCTCCGCGTGCGGGAGGAGGCCGCCAGGTGCGGCCTGTGGTTTCTGGTGTAAAGTGGCTGGTTCCCAGTCGTCTGCACCGAGGCCCTGGGAAGCTGAAGAAAGTCCAAAAGCAACTTCCCAGGCCGGGAGCACGGTGGGCTTTGAAAAGGCTACTTGGACCACCTGCTGGTTCTCCGCGCGGCACCCGGGGTCCGGCCGGACAAAAGCCGTGCCCTCTCTGAGGCTCGAACTCAGGACCTTCAGATTATGAGACTGACGCGCTGCCTGCTGCGCTAAGAGGGCGCCGGCTCCCGGCCTCCGGGGCCCGCAGACAAGGGTGAATTTTACTTCCGGGCACCGTCGTACGGCCGGTTCGGAAGAGCACCATAGAGGCTCCTGGAGAATCACGACCCG